GTACGAGTGTTGCTACAATACTGGGGTACTGCTACTGCCACTGTACTACTACAGCGCTATTACCTCTGCTGCAGTGCTGAGGGTACTACTACTACAGCACGGTCCATACCCTAGTAAAGCAATACCAGGGTGCTACTAAAGCCTTAGAGTACAATCGTAGCAGAGTGCGGCTATTCAAATACTACAGCCAATTCTCAACAACTACTCACATTACGGCAATACAACGGGTTCTATTGAGCACAGGAATTACTACTGCCACTGCACTAATGCTCAGTGCTGTCGTACTCCAGTGCCGCTCCTACAGCCAGAACTCGAGTACTACTACAAGGCTAAAACACTACTGCTAATATTACTACAGCCACACTGCATACCACAGTAATATTACTACAGCCAGTACTCGAGTACTACTGTACTACAATACTGACGTACTACTACTACCACATTACTGCAACAGTTCTACCCTTACAATGCTAAAGTACGGCTATTACTACACTGCTACTGCAATACTACTACAATACAACGTTTACAATAGTGAAGTACGGCGGTACTGGTCGTATAGCCATCACTACAATATTGCACTACTACCCTACTACTGTGCAAACGTACTGCTACGACCACAATGCGGCAACGATTACAACATGATATCACCAATGCCGTACTAATACGACACTACGGTAAAACAAATACGGGCACCGTGCGTAAGTACTGCTGTATTAAAGGCCTACTACTACAGCCACTACCAGAACACTATCAGTACAGTACTATAGTACCCCTGCCGCAGTACCACTGCTACAATACTAGAGTACGACTGTTACAATGCTACAACTACAGCGCTACACTACTAGAGTACGACAGCAGTGCTACGGTACTACGGAATTGGAGTATTCCTACTACAATACTGTCGTACTCTTGCTGCAAACGCCTGTAGAATATGACTCCTACGCGTTCGGTACCAGAACACTGTTACTATATTGCCACTACTACACTAGCACAACACCATTCCTACAACACTGCTACTATAGCATTACAGCCCGAAGATGCTACCACTGTGTTCGAATACGACAGAAATGGCTACTCCTACTACAATACCGCATTGCGATTAGCAAAGCAAGTACTACAGTATGATCTTTACGGCGAAACTTGAATACTTCTAGTACATCTAGAGGACTACTACCGTGCTGATACTTCATTACGGCAATAGTACTACGGCAATTTTAGGCTGCTACACTAGTACAGCACCAACTATCATCATAGTACTTAGTACTGCTACTATTACTACTACTCCTACTACTACGACAGTCAGTACTCGATCACTGCTACTACAATAGAAGAGTGGTCGTCTCACATCCTACTGCGCTGCTGTTAGTACAGGACTGTAGCACTAGAGTCCTACTACTTTAGTATTACCCCGATGGTTATATTCAAGTGCTAGAGTGAGAAAGCATTAGGGTACCACTACATCAGGCCTGCAGAGATTGCATTACAAGCAATACTAAACGACGACGACGACGACGACGACGACGACGACTACTACTACTACTACTACTACTACTACTACTACTACTACTACTACTACTACTACTACTACTACTACCACGACTGCGACCACTGCCACTACGACGACGACGACGACTACTACTACTACGACTACGACTGCGACTACGACTACGACTACTACTACTACTACTACAACTACTACTACTACTACTACTACTACTACTACTACTACTACTACTACTACTACTACTGCTACTACTACTACTACTACTACTACTGCTACTACTACTACTACTACTACTCCTATCCTATTCCTTATTAGAATATACTCCTACTCCCCCCTCAGGCCGGCAGATAGCGGGCCGCATCCGGGTGGTCCCATCCTAACCTGTAAAAAACAATACAAAATCAACATTTTTCTTATTTTTTCCTCTCGACATGGACGTCCTGTCGTCCACGGCGATAATCCATTGCAAAAAATACCACAAAGAGCACACGCGCGCGTTCATGTCAGAATCCTACCGAACACCGTGTGTTTGCAAGCATTTCAACATAAAAACATCAAAAACCCAATGCTTTTTCACAAAAATTGTACAAATTTCCCGCCCGGGCTCTCTTGCTGAAATCATAGGAAAACCATAGGAATCTTAAGAATTCTGTCAAATCCAGCGATTTCACGTCATCGCGCGGTGCACTCGCGATGCTCTGTCATGCACCCAGGCCGCGAATCCTGTGCAAAAAATACCACAAAGAGCACACTCGCGCGTTCATGTCAGAATCCTACCGAACACCGTGTGTTTGCAAGCATTTCAACATAAAAACATCAAAAACCCAATGCTTTTTCACAAAAATGCTTTGGGGTGTCCTGTCAGACCGTCGGGCTTCCTCCGGCCACCTCTGGCTTCCTGCGGTGTACCGGGCCATTCTCGACTCGTCTGGCAATGCGTGCGCGGCATTCAACACGCGCTCGCCAGTTCCCGTCGGCAACCGCCATCGCGGCCGCATCAGCTGTACCAAACCGGCTGGCCGGTGTGACTTCGGCCCCCAGTTGTGCCAGCTTTGCTTCTTATGTTGTGGGAGGGCGGGTGGGACTGGGCATGCCATGCTTGACTCGCTCGAGCTGGCTAGCTTGACTCCTACTCCTACTCCTACTCTACTACTACTACTACTACTACTACTACTACTACTACTACTACTACTACTACTACTACTACTACTACTACTACTACTACTACTACTACTACTACTACTACTATCACTACTACTACTACTACTACCACCACTGCTGCTACTACTGCTTCTGCTGCTGCTACTACTACTGCTGCTGCTGCTAGTACGGACACTGATGTGTGCATCGAGGTGAGGAGCCCGCACCAGAAAGGAACGCCACGAACATCGTCAGTTTGCAAAAAAATAATCGATTTCAGAAGGGGGAAATACGCCAGCGCCCATGTAATGTATACACACGCACATGTATGTATGTATGTAGAAATTTATATATGTATATATGTATATATGTATATATGTATGCATGTATATATATACAGATATGGACATAGGTATGTATGTATGTATATATATATATATATGTAAATATATGTATACATCCACACACGCATACACATATATATATATACATGTCAGCTCAGGTTTGTCGGTCAATCGGTCTGGCCGCCCATGAACCAATACTAGAACCACGCGTGCGCTTCGCGCGCGTTTAGCTTCTGCCTCATTCGTCCCCCTCGCTCTCGTCCACTCCGTCTCCTCTCACCCCCCCATCAATACCCCTCCCCTCCCCTTTACTACTGTTCCACCTTTCCAGACCTCCCGTTTTCCCTTCCCTTTCCCCATCCTCCCTCCTCCTCCATATCAGGGAAGGTCCGCATGAGCCGGATCCCTCACCGCAGTCTGCTTCTACCGACCGACCGACCCCCAACACAGGGCGTTACTCCCCAAACAAAGCTTGCACTCAGGGGCTATTGCTTGTGCTCTACGGTAACTGGGCCCCGGCGTCGGTCCAACCGGCTCGTCCCCGCCAGTCGCCGCCGTCACCGCTGGACCCCAGTGGCTGTCTGGCTGGCTCGTCGCTGCCCGTCGATGCGTTGCTTTGCGCTGCCTTGCTTTGCGTTGCTTTGCGTTGCTCAGCATTGCTTTACATCGCATTGCAATTCTTTGCTTTGCTTTGCATTCCTTGTATCGCTTTGCATTTCTTTGCGTTCCGTTGCTTTGCATTGCAATGCAATGCGTTGCTTTGCTTTGCATTGCTTTGCGTTGCTTTGCACCGCGTCGCATTGCTTTGATTGTTTTTTTGCTTTGCATTGCTTCGCGTTGATTTGCATTGCTTAGCATTGCTTCGCAAAGCATTGCAAGATAGTGCTTTTCATTGATTTGCATTGCAATGCATTGTTTTGCACCACATGTATTGCACCACATAGTTTGCAAGAGGTCACTGTTTAGGGTCCACGCTGACTAACGTTGATTTACAAATAACACACATGTGTGCCGCCATCATCACCCCTATACTGATGTGATTTTCTAGCACCGCGGGCAAGAAACCAACAATCAAGAACTGCCCAGACTGGAAACATGCTTCAGAAAGACCAGTCACGTGAGACGACGTCGCACTTGTCGCAAAAATCCTTCTCGCGGCAAGTAACTCATTCAATCACATCGCGGTGCGCAAGCCTTCTCGGGGCGTTTTGCGAGAAGATGGTGCGTGCGCACCGTAGCAAATCCAATCAGTGGCGAATAGGATAATAAGGACAAGGAAATGAAGGTCGGGCGGAACTGGCGGTCGTGGGAAGCTGAACAGCCCTAAGGTTCTGCACCTGGTTGTGCCAGCGAAAACATGCGGAACCACTAGTATCATGGGCAACATGCTTCGGCACGACCAGCCACGTGAAACGACTTCGCACTACCACCATCTCCACTGGTAGTCCTGGACGAGGGAAGGGGGGAGGGGGAGGTCCAAGGAGGACTGAAGCGCAAGCTAGCTTCTAATCTGCCCTGGGGAGCCTTTCAAGTCTCCGGACTGCTTCTAGTCTCCTTCGGGGAGCCTCACAACTATCCGCAATGTGACCCTGGCCTCTTTGGGGCGTCAGAGGCTCCTCCGATGCGCTCTTGAAGCCCTCTGGATCAAACCGGTGCAGGAAAAGCGCACCCGAGCCCCGCAGAGACCCACGGACCCTCGAGGGCTGCACTCGAGTGCAAGGGTCTCCTACCCTCCCTCCTGGAAGCGGCCGAGGCGTCTGCGCTGGGTGGGCCCTGCGAGACTCGGGCAAGAGGTGGCGGGCGAAGGCGACTCCGCCCAAAGCCGTTCCCGAATCCCTCCCGGGGCGACGTTCAGCTGCGTTCGGCCGTGGCGACGAGGGGGCCTCGTCCTCGCCCCTCCCTGCTGGCACGAAACACAAGGCTGGGCCACCTCAGCCCCCAGCTGGCCTCAAGCGCTGCCCCTCCGTCCTCCCCTCTCTCCCTCCATCCTCCGCCTCGGGCTGGTCGGTGGCCTGGCGACCCACTGCCTCATGCACGCGGCGTGGAACACGTGGCCGCCTTGGAAGTTGTCGTCGTCTTCGTTGCCGTCGTCTTCGGAGGGAGAAGGCGAGGAGGGTCAGAAGGCGGACGACCGATCGATCGATGCCTGATGATGATGGTCGTGACGATGATGATGACGATGGTGATGACATTCAGGATGATGGTGATGGTGATGGGGCTGTTGTTGATGGTGGTCGGTGGTGGTGATGGTGATGCTGCGGATGATGATGCTACTACAACTGCTGCGCCGACTGGTAGTATTGACATTGTGACAACATGGCGGTAATTCGTACGATGATTATGTTGATGTCGTTGAAAATCATGCTAACGGGCCATGGGGATCTCCAACAACGGTGAAGCGGCGGCAGCGACAGAGCAGTTGTAAGAGAAATCGCGAGCTCCCTGCATCGCACCGATTTCTTGGCGAGGGGACGACGTCGGGCCTGGAACAGCTTGCAAGCCCGCCCGGAACCTCAACGGGCGCTCGCGTGAGTAGAACTGAAGGTATCGGAAGCCACATCATGGCAGAGCAGCTGGGCAAACAACTGTTCATGCGAAATGCTTTGGATTTCGCGGACGAGAAGGCGACACAGAAACGACGAGAAGACAACAGACGGCGGAAGGACAAGCAAAACACGCACGAGGTCTGGGGTGAGGACAAGACATCCAAACACGTGGCGAATACAATCCGCCTCGATGCATCCACGCCGAAAGCGGCAAGGCTCGCAAACTTGTCTGTTTCTCGTCGGCGTGGGCCAGGCATTATGCGCAGATTTCACGTATGCTACGCTAATAGGCGATCTGCCAAGCGATATTTAAAAAACGTAGATTCGGTTCGCTATCGCATCGGGCATTGAGGGATATAACAGCGAATTCGGGGGAGGACGAACTTCGAACTCGGGCTCATATCGCGAGCGCGAAGGAACTTTGTGATTTTCCCCTGGAGGTGTATCTAGCAATCGTCAAACTTATCACGAAAGCGCGGGATGGCCGTCAGGCTACGATAGTTGTTGAACACAGACATGCACATGCTCTGCTCCAACCATTCAGGAAAACGGGTGACCATCAGCACGTCAGAACACTCTTGCTCAAGGAAGTCAATAAGAATCGTCATGTTCTGGCAGGCGCATGAGCGAAGACAGGCGCTGTACATAGTAGCGCGGTTCTCATGAATCAACGAACGAGGGCCAACTCGAAAACCATATCCCGTGAATCCACGGAGAGCTGCGGTGGGTACCGAAAAACGATGGCTCACCGTCAAGCGCTGCAATGCTGTCTGTCTAGCGAGCAATACTTAGCGAGGAACCGGGTTCGCAAGCGCGGCGTAGGATAATACAGGGAAAGCGACCGAGTTGTACTGTCTAAAACATAAGCCCTGCCCAAGTCTAGCGAACCGGGCGAGTTTCGTTTGATGCCTCCAGTCTGGAATGGGGCCACTGAAAATTGAGCTTGTTGGGAGAGCCGTACAGCGGGGCCACGTGATATCAACATATTATCGATGTTGGAAGGGACGATGGGGCGAGTTTGGTTTGGCCAAGGCCCCGAAGAACACGGGCAGAAACCTCGCCTTCAACGCTCTTTGGAGGGAGGACAACGTGTCCGTCGTGTGAGGGAGCTAGGGGAGATTCGCCAGCGAGGAGAGCCAGGTGGGCGCCGCATCGAGCCTCGTGAATAAGAGATCGAACGCGTCGCCGCGCTGGATAAGGAATGCCATCTGGCCCTGGGGCCGCGTTGCGCATCTAGCAAGAGATAGCGCCATCGAAGAATTCGGCGTGGACATCTCGCTCCATGCTGGGGCCTGCACGACGCATGCAACATTCAGGAAGCCAGCGGGCAGCAGCCAGACGATGCAGAGGAACTGGCCTGCGGAGTCGCTCCCAGGCGACGAGCGATCACCTTCGGGCGCTCGGCAAACGGCGCCCCGATGAGCACGGAGACTAGCGGCGCTCTCTTGTAAGGTCTGCGCGAGCCCATCACCTGCAGCGCAGCCTGCTAACGATGCGCGACGACGCATCGGGCTCCAATTCTGCATCTGCCACTGGGTTCTGGTGACGACAAAGTCGTTTCGAGGGATCGGTTGGCCGTCGTGGGCGTCGAGGGCGCGATTCAGGTCCTCCCGGGGGCGCCTGGATGGAGCTCCGCGACGTGGCCATGGAACCCGTCAGGGTCAATCGTGGAGTCGGTGCTGACAGAGTCCTCGAGGTAGGGGCGCGAGCTAAGACGCCTCTGAGCCAAATGCCCCGGGGAACCACTCCTCAGACGCGCCGGGAACTTTCGGCAAGTCGCTATCTTCTGGCGGATCGTTTCTGGCCCGGTATTATGTAGCCGTCGCAATGAGATCTCTTCGACGAAAAGTGCAATCCTTGCTTTTCCGGGGCCTCTCGACCGATGTGCTCAGCGGCGCTTTCCAAGCGAGAACAATGCTCGCCGTGCTCCTTAATCCAGCGAGGGATCCTGGGCGGACCTGCAGCGCCTGGCAGCAGCTGCAAAAATGCGGGGACGTGATCGGGCGGCTCGGCCTGGCTGAGCGGATCACCCGGAATGCCCGTCGATGGGCCCAGCCGTAGGACAGTTGGTGTAGACGCGATCGATCCGACCGTAGCTGTTGTGTCTTGCCAAGGTGGGTGACGCCCGCTCGCTCGATCTCGTTGTAGCCTCGAATGGCCGCGTGCAAAGCGTTGATCGTGCGTGGGGCTCTTCTGCGATGAGCGCCGTCTGAGACCAGTGTTGGATGCTCGCCGCTCCCCGCGTGATGAAAGTCGCCGCCGAGGATGACCGAGAGCGCAGCAAGCCCAAGGATCGCGCTTCAACGCTTGCGAGTATAGGCGCGCCGTGCAGGGGCGGGAAGGAGCGCGATGCAAGCGCTGCTGGCTTGCGAGATCCCAGAGGGGCCAGGAAGCGTGATGAACGCGCTGCTTCCTTCTTCCATGGCTTCGGGGTCGGAAGCGCGGTGGGGGTGGGGTGGGGTGGGGGGCGCGGAGAGGGCGTTTTTGCGCGTCGACGCAGTTGCGCCCCCTGTCCGGCGCGAGCGGGCAGAAATCCCGAAATTTCTGAACTGGGCGAAATCGGGGGCCAAGCTGGACAAGTCCTCTTCGGACCCATGGCACCCATGAGTAACAATGACCCGATGCTTCTGGAACAAAGAGAAACTGTCCGATTGCGCGAGCGCCGCGGGCTGTGCTTGCCGAAGACGCAGCCGAACTGTGCTGCTGCATAATAGATGCAGACGCCCCCTCGCAACGTGGATCGGTTCGCGCCGGCGCCGCGGGGGGGCGAAGGGGGGTGGGGCGATGGGGGGGGGCGAAGACGACGAGGGCGCGGAATGGGGAAAGGAGCCCTCGATCCCGCGCCCTGGAACCAGAGTGTCGACATTCAAGCGCATTCGGCACCTAAAACCCTGCTGGGCCGACCATGGGCTAAACGGAAAGCTTGTCAACTAGAATCTGGGGACGGGTGAAGCTGCGAAGGGGCATCCTGCTGGCTGATGTTGCATCTTCTCGCCGAGCGCCGCGATGTGTTCCTGCGAACAGCCTGGAGCTTTGAGGTTCTCACCGTCGGGCTCGACTCTGAACGTGCCTGACTGGTCTCCCCAGGCTGAAGCAGGCGTGGCAAATCGCAAACATTCGTCGCCGTCAGCCAAGGAGACCGTGTCTTCGAACGGGTCGGTGCCGAGCTTGTGATGAGGTTTCCATGCGTTGTTCTCGCGCAGCGTCGTGTTGGCAACCTCCCAGAACTTAGATAGAGCCACCTTGTTCAGGCGAGCTAGGGGAGATTTCTCCGAGCCTGCACGGTGGAGAAACTTCCTCGGATGGTCGCGCGGGTCGAGTCAGTAGCAGATCGTGTGCGTGAGCTTGCCATCAATGGGCTTAGCCTCGGCAGTTTTTCAGCGTATCGCTCTGGGTGGCCATGAGAGTGAAGTGCTTCTTGAATGCCGAGGGCAGCATAGCTCGAGGGAGGTCTTTTATCCAGACTCGCGATTGGTCACAATTATCATCCTCACGTCTGGCAGCTCGACGACCCAGACTGAAATCATTCGAAGAACCTTCACTCGTCGGAACACGCGAAAGAGAAGAGGCTCGAACGCCAAGGTTGTCGACCTTGGAGTTCAATGCAATGAAGGCACATTAGGAAGATATGCCATCTTCGCGTCGATCATGTCGTCGTCCTCCTCGTTGCTCGTCCCCTTGTCTTTCAACATGGATTGGAGCGAGGATAGGTCGAAGCGCCGCTCGAGCTCAATCTCAATATCCTTGATCATGACCTCAAGGAAGCGGTACCTTTCGGACGAGTCAGCAGCAATGCTGGTCACCTTTTGGTCAAGAGCGTCACACTTTGCCGAAGCTACGGCCAGGTCTGCCATCTGAAACTTCATGGAGCTCATGTCGGAGGCCAGCGATGACATAGTCTGACTCAGCAGGGCAAGAACAGTACTGACATCGGCAGCCATCTGGGCAAGACTGCCTTCGGCGCTCTCCCAGGCGCCGCAACGTACTGGCGCCCCAGCTGGTATCGGAGAGTGTGAAAGGGGCAAGACGTCCAGGGAGAGAAACTGTGGATAAACTCCAGAAAAGGGACGCTCGAGCGGCCCCCTTGGCAGCGTCCAATTTCGAAGCGCCAAGGTCGCACGTGTCGAACTTGAACCAAAATGGATACGTAATGCTATTGTTGAAAATGAAGATGGTTATGACGATGGTTATGCTGATGCTGATGATGCTGATGATGCTGATGATGCTGATGATGATGATGATAGTGAGGATGATGGTGCTGATGCTGGTGATGCTGCTGATGGTGATGATTGTGAAGGGAAGGAGGTGGATGAGGAACATTAACACACGGCCCCAAGCGCCGTCAATCAGGAATAATATGAGGGTACGGAGGAGATTTGGTCTCAACGGCAATCGGTGACCGAGAAAGAAAGGGGGGAGGGTTGAGTAGGCGAAACACAGGGATGGGGAAGCAGGAAGGGGCGGAGGAGGAGGAGGAAAAGGAGGGACAGTAGGAAGAAAGCAGGGCGAGGAAGGCGAGGCGGAGGAGGAGCAGGAGGAGGAGGCTGAGGAGGAGGAGGAGGAGGCGGAGGAGGACGAGGAGGACGAGGAGGCAGGGGAGAAGCTTGATAGCGTTGGACAGAAAGGGGGGTTTGAGGGGGGCGTCCCCCCTGCGACAGGAAAAGTGCGTTTTTTTTTTCTCACCGCAACCGCCCATCAACAACCCCCCCCGCTCCGAGCAACATCCCCCGCTCTGGGCAACATCCTCCGCTCCAGAGAGCATCCCCCGCTCGGAGCAACATCCCCCGCCCATCAATAACTTCCGACGAGAAGCATGTGTGACCACACCGCGGCGTGGACAAGGGGGGGAGGTGTGGAACGGCCCGCCCCCCTGGCAAGGGGCCAGGCGCGCAAGGCGCATGCCGGCTGCACAGCGGGTGGCGCGGTTGGGGCCGGGCCACCAGACGCGGTCGCGTTCGGCTGCAGTCGAAGCGTGTCCCTCAGGAGCGCTGCTCGTACGCAGCTCGCATGCAAAATCGTCTACGGCAAACCCGTGCTGGCTTTCATTCTCTGCGCGGGCTCCTCCCTCTTGCCCCCTCGCGCTCTGTTCCTTTCCACCTCCGTGCCTCACTTCGCCCCCGGTGCACCCTTTCCGCTTGCTGACTGGCGTCTGACTGTCTTGGACCACTGGGCGCCAGCGGACCCCAACAAAATCCCACAGGCACGTGAATCAGGAACGTGGAACCCCTGGGCCGAAGGCCCAAGGTCGCTTGGACACGCCCCGGTCGAATCGCCGCTTCCAGCGTGGAGAGCCCGGGCTCGAAGCTCTGGCAGGTGCCCCCCGATGGAAAGCTGGCATTGTTCTTGCTCCTGGCTCCGGGTGGTCCAATACGCAAGAGTGGCCGTTGGTCATCGTGACCCCTGGTGCGTGTGTGACGGGAGGCGCGGAGGCCAAACCCCAGCGCGCAAACTCCTGCTATAGCATCGCGTTCAGCAATCGGGGGGCCAAATGGGCCCGCATCGAAGGTCACTGAAACGAAAGGTCACTCTTAAGTGTGGTCGTCTCGTGCGGAAGGACCGCCCGCTTTCATGGACTGCGAGGTCCGTCCGCATCTTCAGCAGTGAGCCAACTCGGTAGAGACGATGAAGCCCACATGCTTTTTGTTGCTCAAGTTTACCGCGTCGTGAGGGAGCCCACACCAGTGTGCGAGACGCGGCCACTGAGCCTTGGCCGGCACATCCTCGTGCCCGGTAGCTGCGGTGGGAAGCGTGGTAGAGCAACGAAGACGGATGAACATCTTCAGCAGTGGCAGTGCTCCAACTCGGTGCACTTTTACAAGGCCTGCACGACCAGCGTTCGCGAGGACAGTGGCGCGCTCGTGCTCGCCCTTCTGCTGCAGGGCGTCACCAGGTAGCCCCATACCCCTCCTCGTCGGTCCTCCTCTCTGCGCCTTCCTCCTCCAGCTTCTCTTCCTCCTCTTCCTTCCCCACCGCTCCTCCCATCCTCGCTCTTCCTCCCGCTCCACGCAAGGAGTCGACCCCCAGTCCTCTCTGGGGGTGGGGGTGTGATCCGAATGGAAGTTCGCAGGGAGTCCAGCTGGGGCGACGAGGAGCGCAGCGGAAGCCGAAACAGGGTCAATAATGTCCAACAACCTCGATGCTGGAAATTCGATCATCGAACGCTCCTCCTCCTCTCGCTCCTCCTTCCTCCTGAGCTGCCGCTCATCTTGCAGGGCGGGCAGTGGCTGGCAGCGGGCTCAGCGCAGTGACAGATACCGTATTTTAGAAAGAAAGCTCCCACAGAACTGCCAGCTCCTCGTCCATCTTCTCTTCCGCCCCCTGCTCAGACGCCCGGTATGGGTACGGGGAGAACAGGGTGCGATGCCCAATAGCAACGGCTGTCCCAAACCGATAGCGGCCGCTGTTCGGCAGGCGGCATTCGCCTCAAGTGGACAACGTCCGCGGCGCCACCGACAGCGAGCCCTGTCCAAAAGGAACGGGAACTGCTGTCGGCCTTTGTGGCCGTCCTTTCCGTACGGTTGGACCTGGGACATAATGACATCCTTCAATCGGCTATACGCAAGAGTGACCCTGGGTAAGAGTGACCTTTGGTGCGCGACTTTTGGGGGGCCGCGGGGGGACCAAACCTGGGCGTGCAAGCAGCTGCTGCTGCTGCTGCTGCTGCTGCTGCTGCTGCTGCTGCTGCTGCTGCTTCGTTTTCAGCCAACTGGGGACCCATCTGTGCCCGCACCAAAGGTCACTCCGGCGAAAGGTCACTCTTACGTCTAGCCGATTCAAGAACATGAGACCCTCCGCCGGCCCAGACCCCCAAGGACATCCCAGAAAACCCTCCCCAGGAGGCGCAGGAACGTCCAGCAGGCGCGAAGAAGCACGAGGGCCCCCTCCCCGAGCCGGCCTCGGCCTTATGTCTGGCGGCGAGCGCGGGGGGGAAAATGAGAAGGAGGAGGCCTTCTCAGAAGGCGGCGGGACTTCTCAGAAGCCCTCGCGCCTTCTGAGAAGTATTTTCTGTCTTCAGGGAAGACTTAGAAAACTTCTCAGAAGGCCGGGGGACTTCCGAACCTGCTGAGGAGGCCTTCTCCTTCTCACTTTCCCCCCCTCGCTCGCCGCCGATATGTTATGCCTCGGGCCGACCGTACCCCTCTCGATCGCCTCGACCCCCCTCCTGCCGCTCCGCGCCGCCCCTCTCACCCGCGGGGAGACGCCGAGGCGCCCGCACGCGAGGGCCAGCGCGCCGCGCCCCGCAGTGGGCGCCTCCTCGAGGCAGATGGCGCAGAGGGGGCCCTGGCCGAGCGGCGGTGCGGAGGCGGACGTAGGCGACGGCGACGGCGGCCTCCCCCTCCGTCTCCCCTCCCCTTCCCCCTCTATCTCCCCTCCCCCTCCCACTCCTTCTCCTCCTGCTCCTCCTCCTCCTCCCTCCTCCTCCTCATCCTCCTCCTTCCTCCTCCTCCCCCTCCTCCTCCTCCTCCTCCTCCTCCTCCTCCCCCTCTTCCTCCTCCTCCTCCTCCTCCTCCCCTCCTCCTCCTCCTCCTCCTCCTCCCTCCTCCTCCTCCTCCTCCTCCTCCCCTCCTCCCTCCTCCTCCCCTCCTCCTCCTCCTCCTCCTCCTCCTCCTCCTCCTCCTCCTCCTCCTCCTCCTCCTCCTCCTCCTCCTCCTCCTCCTCCTCCTCCCTCCTCCTCCTCCTCCTCCTCCTCCTCCCCCTCCTCTCCCTTCCCCTCCTGCCCCAGGCAGGCCCTTGCCAAGTGCAAGGGGCCCGCACACATATCTTTCGCAGAGGCCCAGTTGTCTTGCCCACGGCAGGGGCCCGCCGCCGATGCGCTTATCCCATCTTGCCTCCCTTCCCCTCCTCCTCTCTCCATCTCTCCATCTCTCCATCCTTCCTCCTCCTCCTCCTGCTCCCCCCCCCCCCTCCCCTCCTCCTCCTCCTCCTCGTCCTCGTCCTCCTCCTCCTCCTCCTTCTCCTCCTCCTCTTCCTCCTCCTCCTCTTCCTCCTCCTCCTCCTCCTCCCCCTTCGAGGGAGGGGCGAGGGGGAGTCAGCGCCATGACAGGCACCCCAGCGGTCAAGACAACCTGGGGGTCGGCCAGGCGTAGAGGCTCCCTCGCACGACCTTACCTTTGCCCTCGCTGTGCTCGTCCTTGTCGTCGTCGTCGTCGTCGTCGTTCTCCTTCTCCTCTTCTTCCTCCCTCCTCCTTCTCTTTCTCTTTGCCTCTCCTCTTCCTGGTCATCTCCTCCTCCTCTTCCTCTCCCTCCTCCTGTCCATTCTCCTCTTCGTTCTCCTCTTCATGCCGCCGTCGTCTTCTCAGCATCTACGGGATTGGGATGGTTCCGACGATGATGAGCCAAAACTTTTCGAGCCTCGACCTCATCGACCCTCGAACCTCCTCGATCCTCAAAACTCGATCCTCGAACTCCTCGAGCATCGACCGTCGACCCTCCCCGAGCCTCGACCACCGAGGCGTGGCGTCGCCTCCTCGAACCTCGACCCTCGAACCTCGTTCTGAGCCGGGGCCAGGACTGGGACAAACTCGGACCAGGACAAACTCGGGGACCTCCGAGATCTTGCGATTCTGGAAGACGTGTCGGGCGCGCCCTCGAACCTCGATCTGAGCCGAGGCCAGGACCAGGACAGACTCGGACCCGGACAAATCGGGGACCTCTGATATCTGGCGGTTCTGGAGGATGCGTCGGGCGCCGCGGCCGTTCTAAGGAAGAACAAGGCGTGACCAGCTTGGGGGGGAAACGCGGAGCTGGAATCGGCGATACATCGCCGGCAGATCGGCGATATGCTCCGGATGGCGAGTCCGCGCGCTCCTGAGCGGGGTGGGCTGTCGGGCCCCTATCGGCGATGAGCGGGCGCTTGGGGGTTGATGCTGCCCCCGCCGAGCCTATCTCCTGCCAGCGTGGCCCCTGAGATCCTCGACCCTCTTCCCCCTCGACCCGGTCGCCGCACCTCCTCGAGCCTCGCCCCGGGAGCGGGCCCCAGAGGCCAACCTCCGAGGCAGAGCGCCGGGCTTGAAGAAACTCGACCCTCGAGGGTCGAGGGCCGAGCTTCGACCTCTCGCCCCTCGAGAGGGTCGAGACTCGAGGCTCGAGGGAGTCGAGACTCGACCTCTCGACCCTCGGGTCGAGGGAGAGCCGAGACTCGAGGGGCCGAGGCCCTCGGCCCTCGACTCCCTCTCGAGGGTCGAGGGCCTCGGCCCTCGAGAGGGAGGCAGTCTCCCTTCTCGGGGCGGCGGGCCGCTCCAGAGCGCTCCGGCCGTTCCAGAGCGCTCCGGGGCGCTCGGACATCGGCTGCACGCAGGAGTTTAACGGGCGAAAAGAACGGCATAAAATATAATCTTTTTCGCTGTCGGGGGGCCTGTCCCTGGGCGGCTGGGAAGTTCATACCCTTACGGTGGCACCGCAGGGGTATAAACTTTCCAGCCGCCCAGGGACAGGCGCCCCCGACAGCGAAAAAGTTTATTTTATACTGTTCTTCGCTCGCTGAGGAGTGACCCTGCGCAAGGATGACCTTTGGTGCGCGGCCTAAGGGGGGGGGGCCTTTGGGGACACCGCCAGGCGCGCAAGCCGCTGCTGTGGGATCGCGTTCGGCGATCGGGAGGCCCCCTTGGGCCCGCACTAAAAGCCACTCCGGCGAAATGTCACTCTCACGTCTAGTCGATGAGCTCTTGTGCCGGAACGCCCTGGAACGAGTCATCCCGGTCCCCCCCAAAATCCGATGTCGTGTTTCTTTCAAGACGGGGTCCCCGGAAGTCTCGACCCCTTCCACGGGGCCGGTTTGTCATCCTGAGCCGTTTTTTGACGGTCCTGGGGCCCGGCGAGGGCCCCCGGAGGCCGAAAACTGAGAAAACCCTCCGTCTCGATTTTTTCAATGCATTGGTGAGCCGTTTTTTGACGGTCCTGGGGCCCGGCGAGGGCCCCTGGAGGCCGAAAACTGAGAAACACCTCCGTCTTGATTTTTTCAACGCGTTGGATCTCTGCGCCTGCCCCCGCCCGGCGATCCTCGAGCCTCGAGCCTCGACGGAGGGCCGTCGCCTTCTCGGAGCGGGGTGCCCCCTCGGCGGGGGCCGTCGGCGGAGCGGCGGGCGGGGCGGCGGCGTCCCGCAGGCGCCCGCCAGAGGGGGCGGACCTCGGCTGGCTGGGGGGGGGGCCTCCGAGGGGGAGGGAGGGGAGGAGGGGGGAGGGGGGAGGGACGGGGAGGGAGGAGCAGGGGAGGGAGGGAGGGGGAGGGAGGGAGGGAGGGAGGGAGGGAGGGAGGAGGGAGGGAGGGAGGAGGGAGGAGGGAGGGAGGAGGGAGGGAGGGAGGGAGGAGGAGGAGGAGGAGGAGGAAGGAGGGAGAGGAGATGATGATGTTGATGATGATGATGATGATGATGATGATGATGATGATGATGATGATGATGATGATGATGATGATGATGATGATGATGATGATGATGATGATGATGATGATGATGATGATGATGATGATGATGATGATGATGATGATGATGATGATGATGATGCTGATGATGATGATGATGATGATGATCATGATGATGGTGATGGTGATGATGACGATGATCATGATGATGAGGAGGAGGAGGAGGAGTAGGAGGAGTAGGAGGAGGAGGAGGAGGAGGAAAAGGAGGAGGAGGAGGATGAGGAGGTGGAGGAGGAAGAGGAGGAGGGCGAGGAGGGCGAGGAGGAGGAGGAGGCGGAGGAGGAGGAGGATGAGGAGGAGGAGGAGGAGGAGGTAGGCGAGGATGGCGAGGAGGAGGCGGAGGAAGGCCACATTGAACCCAAGAGGCGTCAACGACGCTGCAATGCACCCTCCCGTCCCACGTCTCCTTCCCAGAGGCTCCCGGGAGCATTCTCCTCCACTGCGCGAGGCGCCCCCTCTGAAAGACGATCGCCGCTCGGGCCCGCCATTCGGGTGGGAGCTCCATTCGGAAAGTATCGGACCTCCATCCTTCGAGCTACTGCAGCAGGAGCTCGACCACAGGAAACGTTCCACAGGAAACCCAGCCCTGAGAGCCTAGGACGTCCATGGATTTTTGGTGTGGGGACGTCACGCTTTCCATCGCAAAACCATTGAAACCCAAGAGACCCAGGGCATCCAGGAGGCAAGCAAAGAGTTTCTTGGCATGGGTTCTTCTCGCTGTAGGAGTGCGACATGGTGGGGCAATCAAGCTCAAGATGGTCCCAAGCGAGAGCCCCTTTCTGCAGAGGGACCGCCCTCCATCCGTGCAATGCGCGAGAGCCCCACGATGAAGCACACTCTCGCGCTCCATCCGTGTAGCCAGTGACATGTCTGAAAACGAATGTGCGCGGCACCGAGGCGAAAACCGTGTCTTGAAAACCGTCCGCCCTCCATCCGCGTAAGTTTTGTGGCTTTTCTTTGCTTCGTTCTTTTGCCCGAACACGAGGGCTCACGTTTGAAAGCCGTTCGCCTTCCGTCCGTGTGGCTGCGTGATCGTAAGCTTCAAGGTCATGCGCGGTGAAGGGATCTCGCGCGAAACGCCACGCCCACCTCGATGACACGTCTGATGCTGCGACAGGGAGGCAATACTTTACACGGAAGAGGGGTGGACTAGAGCAAGAGAAGAAGGATGATAATGAGCGGATGGATGATGATGAGGAATGGGAGGGAATGAGGAAGAGCAGGGGGATACTGATGAGGATGAAGATGATGCTGATGCTGCTGATGAGGGGAATGAGGAAGAGCAGGGGGAAAACGATGAGGATAATGCTGCTGCTGCTGATGATAAGGATAATGCTGACGATGATGATGATGAGGCACGGAAGGGATGAGGAGGAAGCGTCGGCAGGGGAGGAATGAGGAGGAGGAGGACCAGTGTAATCCCAAGGCTCATCATCGATGTTGCAATAAACCCTCCCTCCAAGTGCCTTCTTCACAAACTTCTATAAGGATCTATTTTCCCTGCGGGAAGAGCCCCATTGGAAAACAACCGTCAGACAATCTGCAA